GGAATGTGCGTGAAGGTGAAGTCTGAAGGATAGTCAGTTCGAATCAATCGATCAAGAACCTGAAACAATTAGAAAATTTCATCAGCAATACGCAATAAACATATTAAGAGGAAAACCACAGAACAGAAAACACCCAAGCTTCAGTAGTCCAGAGGAAATGAAGGAGTAAAAGTTCTATTGTTACCAGCAAGATTACTGATACATAGATAAATCAAATGCAATCCTAGTGATTAGTGCTTCATCAATACCGATAGTATGTCTGAAGGCAACAAACAAAGCTCCTATGGTAATGCTTCAACTTATTCATGTCTTTTTACTTCCTTTTTTATTTATTGAATATACAAATGTACAGTCAACGTTTAGGAAGGGGACTACGGCCATACAAAGGTTACCTGGGAAAATACATAATTAGTGAAGACGGGCGGTGGTGAACCGGTTCGAACCCGGGACTTCCGGGTCAAAGTTTAGCGAAATAACCACCACCACCCAGGCAGATAAATATGAAAGTGGAAAATAAGCAACTCTATTGTAACAAGAAGGCGAGTTGGTTGGCAAAACGTTTATCGATTCAATTAGAAAACCAGTGTATGTGGTCAATTATATATAATCAATTCTTAACCGCGCGGCAGGATGATTCATGCCTCATTCTGTTGGTCAATCCCTGTTGATTTTGGTCCGCACCAGGCACATACGTTGCCTTTTCCTCCACGTGCCGTTCCGACTGGTTTGAAACGATCGTAGCGCGAGATACGTTGATCGATAGCTCCGACGTTGTGGTATTCGGTGGATATCTTTCTGGCTAGATGCGGATTGTCTGTCGGGCTGAAATTGTCGATTCGTTGGTTTCAAGTGGTAGTCGACATTGTCTCGCGAAGTACTTCAAGTCGCTACATCTGCGCATCTGGTTGGATGGGCCGTATTCTTGATTCGTTCGCTAGCCGGGGCTCTCTTTGTACAACCTTCGATCACACTACTGCTGTAACACTTAATGCTCCCTTCCATCCACCTGATTTGATCCAGAAAGTCTCAAATTTAAGATTTCTGATTATCATAATCGAATACTCGGTCGTTTTGACTCCCTTTTGTTGTTCACCACACTGAGACAGAAAATTCGAGAACGACGTAACGTAAGAACATAACTAGTTGAAGAAAACCATTTCCTAAGGTTCGTCTACTGGTAAGATACCACTCGATTTTTGGTAAATCAAACATGGGGTGAGAAGGACAAGTGAACAAAGTGACCAAACCAGAATGAGATGACAGCTGTGATAATTGGTACGGCTGGTGTATATGTAAGTATGCGAATGAGTGAGAGTCGATGAACGAAGTTTACGTCACCAGATTACAGACAGGTAAATAGACACCGATGATGATGATTCTTACAAAATGTTCCCACCCACACGAGTTATGGGGAGGAGGGGGTAAAGGCAGAATGAGTGTCTAATTCGTTCATAGAATTCGATATTTGACCTTTTTACACAACTTTTTGTCCGTGTAAAGGTTGAAAGCGTCAAGAACTCAACGATAAGATTCAGTTTGATGGATGCTGTTTAGCATCACACTGGTTTTTAACATTTCCTTCTGGTTAAACCAGCTGAAGTGATACTTCTCAATATTACTGGTTACATGCTTCCAAGCCCGACAATCATAGATCGCGGAGGGGAGTTACCCTAAATTCCTCATAAGTTTCAACAACCATGGGCGAAAATATTTTCTGATTTAAGATGTCAAGCGAGAATGAAATAACTTTAGCAAAGATGACTATAAACCGAACAATTTCGTAGGTGACATGCTCCAGCATTCGGTAATTTTCAATTGAAATAAAGAGGTATGCACATTTCATTTAATGTTTTCGGTCCGACTCGCACGAATAGAGAGGGCATTTATGATGCTGGAAACAAGTGTAAGTTAAGCAGATAAACGTACACAACGCAGTGTATTTAATCACTCTAAGTTTTACTCTGCTATGTGACTAAGGCTCAAAACCAGTGATTATAACAGAACATATTCATACAACAAGCAATAATACCCAAACAATCAGTATTTTGTGAGGAACGTAATGTTAAAAGAAAAAGAACCTGTGCAACAGACGAGAGTTAGATTGGAGAGAAACAGCAGTATTTCCATCATATATTCTTGTGCAGCTGGGTTTTATCAGACTCAAAGCACGGACTATTCTGTTAAGTGTATCAGCTCATGGAAAAACAATTACGTTTATATCACGGATGAATGCAAACCTTTACCCAGCAGACTGATCACTCATCTCCTTGCTCTCTTAATCGATTGATAGAAACCAATTGCTTTTGGTGACATCTACGCCTGACAGCAAACGTCCCAAACTAGGTCACGACATTGATAGGGTTTTACTTAATAATGACCTTAGATGCGATTCTTTCCTGGCTGTAGGGACAATAGTCTGACCATGTGTGACATGGTTCACGTACCGTTAATTTATTCTAGAACTAGTTCAATCTATTGGAGATTTGGTAGCAAGAATAGTATTGGCTCGTTTACTCACGGAGTCATCCCCGATGAACCGATTACTGTTGAAATACCATGAGAGTTTGGCACACTGAAACACCTACACACATGCCGCCCGGTATATGTTAAGGCGGTTTGGATGACTCTATTACTTAAAGCGAAGAAGAAACATTTCTTCATAGGTGAAATTTTCCAACTTTAGTGCGATGACAGTCATTAATGTGCATGTTATATGCGGGATACAGGCTAGCCACGATCAAATACCGCAATGAATGCCTAATCTTCAAGTTTCATCCAGGTTGCATAAGCATTAAAAGAACCGCAAAAGTTGTCATATGATAATATAATGGCCGGTCGCGTTGTTTCTTCTATGATACTGCATCTACTGAAATCCGTGTAGCTCAAAACACCCTCAAAAAGTAGCCCATCATCTTCATTATGATACCCCGTGTAAAGAAGATGCATTCTTCATATGTTCACACTGAATCAACTGGTTAAAAGTCAGGCGTAAAAGATTGAAGTGGCAGACTTCTGCTGTGCAACTCACATTGAACAATTAGCAATCGCTAAACGTAGGGAGCTGATCGTGACTGAAACCTGCTACACGGTGCAGTACCAACATTCGAACCAGTTTGCATACTTATCGGTAGTGTCGCTACTAATGAACATAATTAGAATAATCTCCTGTAATACAGCTCACAGATCCTTCGTGGGTGGTTGCTCTGTCGCCTAGCAAAGATCTAGACGCGATAACTTGCAACTGTTTACACTAGCGCACGTATAGGATGCATTCGATTTTCGCTGTCTATCGGAAACTAGGGTTCTTTTCATCACATGTCACCACCGTTGAATACTCAATCGCTTTCAGTACACCATGGTAATCATTCACCTGATAGTGTATCAATCAGATTATAGTGCTCCTTTCAGAAGTACTCTCTCTCCGCGCTTCTGTGCATATACTCATCATCTAGTCTGCAAAATGCTAGAAAGATTACATTTCCAAATATATCTCCGAAANGAAACAGTTTCAACTATATTTCTCATTTATGCGAAATTCCGTCTTTTTCTCAGAGCAATACAAGATCCAGGATGGGCCGGTCCAAACCAAATTTGAATTTGATAACGTTTGGATGCGCTATAAGCAGATGATTGTTTGGGAGGATCAGCTTTTAACACTGTGGAGAAGCTGGATACGGTAATTACTAAGGAGTGAAATAGATTACAGGCCTATGATTTAAAGAACTTTATAAAGGGCATACCTATGGATTGTATTTTGAGGATAAAACAAAAGATATTACAGTTATCATCAAAACCTTTTTCTCTCAACTGGGTGACCTTAACCGCACCTCACACCTCCAAAAACATGTTCAACACGAACAGTTGGAAACAGTGTACTTGAAATAAAAAAATATTTGCATTTTTCATGTGAGTAATGGAGGATTTGATTCGATTTCAAAGAAGAAATTCGGCGTGTGTATAGCAAATGAAACGTGAACTTGAATCTTATTGAAATAGTCATTCGTTCATGATTACCGTGATCACATTGAAGAAATGAGTCCAGATGCTATGCGGCTAGTATTAATGAATAGCTATTCAATAGAATATGATTTTATGGGGAAACTTCGCCGAGAGCGGTGTGTGCATATGTGACCTCAGTGCATTTCGCGTACTTTAGAGGTTTCATTCTTGACAGATCTTATCAGAGTACCGAACACATGTGCACACAATGAACGTAATCGATCGGTTTGATTATGAAAATGTAGGTGGTGTATGCCGATGTGCGTACACATTATTACTGACCCGTTCGTGACAAAATCAAGAAGTCCTTTATCACTAAGTCCAAGGGCACGCGGGGCAGTGATGGGTACTGAGATGAAACAAGGTCGTGACAAAATGTATCGTCTCACGATATGAGGGCTGCTTTACCTTGGAATGATCGACCATTACATCGTTGGCTAAAACTGAACCTTCCTCTATCGGGAACAATTTACTTAATCACCTAAAACTGTACGCACAGTAACGAAGGTCAAATGAGGTATTTCAAGATATCCAAACAACATAATCAACACTGAAATAGGCTTATTAAAAAGAAAATTCACGATTATTTACTAGAACCGTCTTCGGAAGTGATAAAAATATCTATTCTGAGACGAACTGTTAACAATCCTTTGGAAATGATAAGCAGAATTCTAGCGGTTTAGATTGAATTAAGTATAATTTGCTTTGGTGGAGTGAGGTTCCCGCCTTTACACCACGGAACGGAATCCAACTCAATCTTCCTCAATGATCGATTAATTAGCCTCACTAAAGTAAAACAAACAGACGGAGAGCGAGAGAGAGGAAGACAAACAGAAAACAGTAGTACAATATGCAAGCGATTAAGGAAATTCATTTTTGGAAAGTCAGCATGACTTTGTAACATAATGAAAGTAGAAAAAACTAACAGGCAGTCTTGAAAAACAGAGTATGATTGTGGGCACCAATGAGGGTTTGGGGAGGATATTGCACTTCTTCCGTGATTATTTACACCCAACAGATGGCAGTGAGAAACCTATGCCAAAAACAGAACAATTAGTCATGTGCGCACATAAATGATTAAATGATTGAACACTAGCGCCGTGATTCCGTTCGAGAGCTTTCTTCCTCAGTGGGTTGATGAACCAGGGCAGCCGAATTGATACAGTAGCGTAACCCAGAAGGTTTGGGTCCATCGTCAAACACGTGACCTAGATGGGCACCACAATGTTTGCAAGCCACTTCAACACGAAGTTCACCTGCATGGTAAAAAAGCGGTACAGGAAGAGCGAAAACCCATCAAAGCCTTTATAAGATAATATTGGATTCAGCATCTACGTAAACCTGGTTAGAAAGCAAAAGATTAGCTCAGTTCAATCGAAATATTATTTAGGCAACTTGTTATCAAAGCAATTGTATGCGCTCGAAGAAGCTGCAACAAGTGTCTTGCCTACCGAAATGACCAATCAACATCAGGAGGAACTGTTGAGGATTAATTCATGGTTGCATCGTTACTAGCGCCTTTCGTCAGCAACTAAGCTTTAATGCTACCTCACGTTTTTTCAATGGCTAATCAGAATCCTTTTTTATCGTTGAAAGTCAGATATCAGTTCCTTCACTTTGTTTATCTAAAGATAACGCGTTGGTGTTCCCAGTTGGACTACCGTTGAAACTAATTCGAGTGTGCCCTGCCTTGAAATTTTCACTCTCTTGTTTGTTATACTGTTGTTAACGTATTGTTAGATCATTACATATCCACCATAGACAATATTCCAGTAACTCTGATTATTGCCCCGAGGTGACTATTTGTGCAGACCAGACGACACGCGCTCTAACATGGGATATGGACAATAAGGGCCAA